CCGCAGATCGACCCCGGCTAGCTTAGCTCTATAGTTTTTGCCCTTAGTTAGTTAGTCTATTAGTCTACTTAATCTTTTAAGCGGCTTAAAGCTTTAACTTGGCCTTAAAGTTTTGATTAACCCCTTAATAGGCTTAATCTTTTAGGCGGCTTAAAGTTTTGATTAAAGTTTTAATTAAAGGTGCCTTAGGCTCGTAGTATAGGTAAGGTTGTCTTAGCAGATGCAGTAACAATAGCAAGTGATGTTGACAATAGCGGCGCTAGTCGTCTTAGCGCTAACTTCACCTCGCTTCTAATCTCCTTTTTTAACTAATAACACACTCCGTAATACCGTTACTAATATAGCCGCGCCGGTCGCGCTGTCTTCGCCGATTGCCTAGGCCTCGAGGCCTCGATAGAATAAGGGAACAAGAGGGGGACCTATAGGGCGCGTTAGTAAAGAGGTAGAGTCCTTAAAAGAGTATGCGATTAATTAATAGACGCGTCGTAGCGCGCCTAGTATAGTCTTATTGTCCTAGTTTGCCGGCCTCTAATTAGTTAGCTAATAGCACCCCGGGGGTAGCATTGTTCCTAGGCGACATTATAGGCCCTTAGCCTTCTTCTTGTTCTTTATACTAGTCTAATACTTATCTAATAACTTAGCTATATCCTTAAACGAGTCTTCGGCCTCCTACGAGTCCTATTTAGGTAAATAGCCTTACTATCTTAGGAGGTACTCCTTCTTGCCTCGCCTAGTCCGATAATCTAGGATACGTTCTATAGACTATAGCTCTTTACTATCCGCTAGTATGTCTTCGTGTTTAGTAGGGGCTTTATCCCCCTCGCGTAGGTAATATAGCTTAAGGAGGGATACATAGAAGGTGTTATAGATAGTATAATAAGGAGGAAGCTACAACTAATAGGCCTATGCGGAGGAGCCCTTAACTTCTCGAATGCGGAATAGACTAATGTACCTTAGTGCTAGTTTAGGGCGTGTTTTGCTATTAGGTAATAGGTGTTTGCGGATACGGAGGTTCTTCGTACTAAGTATAACTATGTCGCCTTATTTGAAGGTTATTAGCGTATAGTGTTTGTTATAGTAGGCCTTCTAATAGGCCTAGGCTTTTGCTAGTTTGTTAGCTATTATAGCGTAAATTTCTCGCATCTTTTAAACCCTCTTAATAGCCGCTAGCGTCTTAGGTATTAGTACTTAACGCGCTTCCCTTTCCTTGCGCTCGGCCTCGAGCGAGGTAAATAGGTCTTATAGTAAGGCGGCGTTCTAGCCCATTATGGCTATATATAGTAAAACCTTAGTAGATAAGTGTACACTGTTGTTGTATACGAATTCTATAGGCTATAGGAGATTGACCTAGTTATTAGGGTTCTTATTAATATAGCTACGTAGGTACTGCTATAGCGTAGCATTCTGCCTTTCGGTTTGACTATCTGTTTATAGATAGAATGCTATAGACAGGCGATGCTTAAGTCTTAGCTATAGGCAAATCTTACTCTAATAATAAGATATAAATATCGAGCCTCGGTTAGAGACTATCCCTTTAGGGGTCCCCTAATAGGTATAGAAGATGTTGTTCTATAGCGCTTCTACTATATTAATAGCAGTCTAATCTTTCCGCGCCGGGATGTATCGAGCGCCCTTAGTAAACCGGTCTATAACGACTAGGATAGCGTTAAAGATGTCTTTGCTTCCTCTTCGCTTAGTAGGGGGAAGACCTGTAATAAAATCTATTATAAGCTCTGCAAATAGCTTGTAAGGGATTAGCAATAAGGACAACTCGCTAAAAGGCTAATGCTTTAGTACCTTAATACGTTAACACACGGCGCACGTGTTTACGTAGTCCTTTATATCCCGCTTACTATTTAGCTAGTAGTATATGCGCGATAGTAGCTCGTGCGACCTCTCTACGCTATAGTAACCGGCAAGCTTACTATTATAGTGTCGCTTAAGAAGTTCTTGTCGGATCGAATGTTTAGCGGGGACATAGTATCTGCCCTTGAACTTTAAATAACCTTTGTTATCGATCGACTAGTTATTACTCTTACTAGATCGAGTCTTTCGCCTACTTATAAGCTTGTCTATACGTTTAGTAGCAAAGGCGTCCCTCTGCTAAGCCCGTAATAGCTCATTTATAAACGATTAACTATCCCTATTTGTAAGGTCATTTAATAGCACCCTCGCTATTAAACGAGGTACGCATTGTATACATCTAATAGTACTAGTAGCCGGATTAACTGCATTAGTGCTTTAATCGCTGTTACTATATATAGCGATATCGACTAGGGAGTTATTATAACTTCTCCTGTCTATGTCCTTAGCTCTTGCCTTAATACGCACTGTTAATATAGTAAGAGCATTAATATGCTTTAAGCCGTCGCAGAGTCCGGTAAGCCGCTTATCCTGCGCGTGCTTATTAACAATACGGGCTATAGCAATCTTATACTATAGGGTTGGAAATAATAAATTAATAGATTGCTAAGTCCCGCTGTCGTAATTAGGTCGCCTCGATAGGCTATTAGTAGGGTTGCTTACGCCTAGCCGATATAATATATCAAAATCAAACCTAGCGAGGTAGACGGCCTATCTAGCCTATCGACCTATAACCCTAGTAACCTTCGTAATTCTACGGAGGTTGTTATAGTCCGTATAGACCTAAATAGTGTACTATATACTATTGAGATAGTGCCTCTAATACTTAAAGGCCTCGATAATAGCTAGGAGCTCTTGCTCGTATGTCTCGTAGCGACGCTCTACATTAATAAAGTATCGTTTAAGCCCTGTAGTGCTTGTCCTAATCGAGCGGAGCGACGCGTAGAGCTCGAGAACAAATCAGATTAGTGTCTATAGCGCGCAGCTATATAAGCAGCGATCGGTTGTCCTTCGTATACGCTATATTACTTAAAGCCCTTATTATTATTACCCTGTGTCTACGCTATCTCTAAGTCTTCCTCCTAATTACGACGTAGTCTATTATCGAAGGCCTATTAGCGAGCCTGTTCTTCTATTATAGCAATCTAAAAGCGTGTCTCTTCGTTAAGCTCTTCCTCTTTAGTAGTTATCCCTATATACTCTTGCTCTTGCTAAGTCGCCGGCTTACTATTAACTATGTTACTATCGCGTAGAAGCTGTTCGGGCTAACGAGTCTGCTAAGCTTGCCTATTAGCCTTAACATTGCGCTAGAAGGTCTCTTCGTCGAGGAACTCTCCTACTACGTGCCGATTGCCGAGGCGGCGGTCGTCTTCGATACGAGTAGTAGCTGCGATACGCGGACCGTTAAGAACGACTTCGTTTCGACTCGCGAGACTACGAAGGGCGTCTATATAGTCAGTGTTCGAGAAGCGCCGGCTATAGACTTTAGTAAACCTATTGCGCAGAGCTACGAAGGTTATCTACTAACTAGGTACGATTAGCGTTAGAAGCGTACGCTCTAAGAAGGCGAAGGAGGCTATCGGAAGAGCTAGTATATCCTTAGACGACTCTAGTAGTTAACCTTAGCCTTAGCCTTGTCTAGACTCTATTCTCGCGATTTCGAGAAGGGCCGCTTTAAGCTTAGCCTCTTCTACTTCTTATCGACGACGAAGTGCGTCTTACTAAGCTTGTTCTTAGTTGCGCTATTGCTAAAGTCGACGCTCCTACTAAGCCTATAGAGTCTATAGATTACGCTACTATTAACGCTTATCGCGCTTAGCTGCCTCGAGATCTAGGTATAGTAGATCTAAGGAAAGGACGGCTCCGGGTAGCAGACTACGCTGCTTCTTACGACGGATGTAGTCTATATAGCGGTCGATGTAAGACTTATATAGCTTGCCTTTAAAGCGATTATAGTTGAATAGCTTATCGAAGAGTATATTATCGAGATTGTAGAAGCGGGAGTAAGCGATATAAGTTAAGGCAGGCGTAAAGTCCTTCTTAGAGATATTAAGTACACCCTTATCTAAAGTTATACCCTGCGACTTATAGATAGTAATAGCGTAGGCGATAGTTAAGGGGAATTGAGTACGAGTGCATTAGCTATCGGAACGATCGTTGTGTTTCTATTCGCGGCGAGAAGGCACGATAGGTACGACATTAGATAGTAGACTATCGACTTCCTAATTAAGTATCGGGCTAGAGTAGTCGTCTAGCTTAACTAGTACAACGGCCGGCATATCTTTATTAACAACCTCTTAATCGGTACGTAATGTATCTTAAGCCTAGACGACATCGCGGACGGTGCCTATACTACTATTAACAACGCCCTACTATACCTACAGGTTCTCGGTTACTATAACCCGAGCGCCGATACAGATTAGAAGGACTTTATATAGGTTTCCGCCGGTCTCGTAATTAGCTTAAGCGGCATAACGGCTAGTGTGTTTAGCTTTAATAGGCTTAATAGGTTGCTAATTATTACGCATCGAGGTATAGTTAAGGGTAGAGACTTGCTTCTTATAGCTAAATAGGCGAATAGCGTCCTTAAATCCTGCTAGATATAGATAAGAGGCATCTCGAACGCGGGTTGTAAGTGTCTGCTACTAATTAATAGTTAACTTGCTAGGTCTAGCACGCAGGCCTTCGAGAGCATCTTTAAATGCCTAAGCTGCTAGGTTATTGCCCTGTTAGCGCTAAATAACGTTAAGCTAGATAGTCTCGTTAAATAGGTGCTAAGCATAACGGCTAAGAACAACTTTAGGTAAATTAGTTAGGGTTAGCCTACTAAAGAGAGGTCGGCTACCGATTGGAAGTAATTAACTAAAGTCGCCGCATATATAGATCGTAAAGCCTCTAAATAGCAGTAATGTATCAATCTTAGGATCGTCCTAGTCTTCTTGCGGGTAGCTTAAGTCCTACTGTCTAACCTATCGTAGTCGCTTGTCGATCTAGTATAGCTTAACTAAGTTAATTATTGACTTCTCGTCGATAATAATATAGAGAATATTGCGCATATACTCTTAGAAAGTAGAAAGCGCAGTTCCCTTAAGAGGAACGTACTCTCTTATAGTTAGAGGCAGTCGAAAGGCCGAATAGATCGTCGAGCCCTTAATACCGAAAGCTATAGCACTAGTTAGAGCGATCCGCATAATCGGATTATCTATCTAATATTGTATAACGCCGGCAGCATTCTACTGCTCTACTAGTTCCTTAATAGCGGAAGAGAGAAGCTCGATTACGTAGGACTTGCTAACGCCTGCCTTGCTATTAATATTAAGCAAGATAGGGTCCGGCATAGTAGCACTATTTATTAACTTATTAGCGTAGTTTTAAATGCGATTATACTAAAGCCGCTGTTCTAGAGACAGACTATTAACCTTCTATTAGAGGTTAGCGATAGTGCTAATCTTCTAGTGCGTTCTACGAGTGCCGCGCTTGTTCTTCTACTAATCCTTGAGGTGTCTAAGACCGTAGCGGCTAACGTAAGGTATCTAATCGTAGTCCTTATCTATTTAGCGATTGCTAAGATTGTCGAGATCTTCCTCTTCTTCTATAGGGTTGCGATTAGGAATAGCGCGCGTAAGAAGCTTACCCTTAGGCTCTTCTTCTTCTAGGTTATACTGTTCCTCTTTAAATAGGTCCTTAGTCGGTATAGGTAGGTTAACTCTAAAGTAGTCGAAAGGATGTATGTAATAGGCTTTGCACTATTTATAAGCCTCCTACTATGTATAGAACTCCTCGTCCTAGTAATCGCGAAAGGTGTAAGGAAGAGCTAGGTACTAACTATCGAATAGGTAATATAGAGCGACCTTAGTGCGATAGAAGTCTTCGTAGGTACCATTATCTTCCTCGGGGTTGCCGTAGTACTTAGGGAAGTAGTTAATAAGACGAGCCTTCGTACGTAGCCGCAGCTTAAATATTCCGAAGTCCTATCGGGTTAAGAACTCGAAGAGAGTTAGGTTAGGCCGATTAAGAAGGTCTAAATTAGCAAACTTCTCTAGAGAGATGCTAAGCCGATCTATATACTTAAGTAACGGCGACTTGCCCTATATAACGATCTTACTAGCTTGCTTATTATAACGCTTTACCTTCGCTTGCTAATAAGGCAGGCGACAGTCGAAGCTCTATACCTAGCGTAATCCTTAGGCAAGAGGCAAGCCTAGGAGCTAGTAGCATGCTTCCTATATAGAAATATCTCTCTCTCCGATAAGCTTGTTTATTATCTTTGTAAAGAAAGACACTATCGGCCGATTAGAGTTCTGCAAATGAGGACTAAGCTACTTAGCAATATCTAGCAACGGGATACTACGCTTCTCTGCCTTGCTATAGTACTTTGCGAGGTAGTCGACGATAGTGCCCTTCGACGTGCATAGAGCAAAGTCCGTATTAGCAACCTATACTATAGAGACTATACGGTTGTAGCTATTTATCTACTTATTATTGCGAGGTCTATTATATATATAGTAACGTAGGTTAAGGTCTCTACTAATACGAGCTTTATCGTATAGCTTACGAGGATAGTAGAACCGACAACTACGCTAGCTAGTATCCTTGTTCTGCCGCTAACAATACTCGTAACCGCATTTGTAGCGCTAAACTCGATTCAAGTTTAGTATAAGCAGATATACCGTATTACGCACTTTATCCGGTCGTATAGACAAGACTATAGGCTCTCCTAGTTATAGACTAGTGCGATCTAGATCTAGTTGAAAGGCAGTTATATAACGGCCCTAGAAGTTTGCAAGTGCTTGTCGGTCGGCTTTAGTGCTTAATCTCGGCGGCGGCAACAAAGCTTACTATGTCTCGGGCTTAATGTCTGTCTATAACTAATACATACCGTAATTGTAAGAGCTGCTACGAGCCTAGAATTCGAACCGATTCTAGTAATCGACAATGCTAAATTTGGGCTTAAGTACTATTTGCTAAAGAATAGTATGCCGACGGTAGTAGTAATAGGCTGCGATAGCCGGATTGTCGCGGACATTGTCGCGTGCGATCTTGCGGCGCTCGTGCTTATCGCCGGATAGAATAGTAGGCATATGCTTTTAAAGAGACTACTACTAGTTGTCTGCGGCGCTAAAGGTTAGGAATAGATAAGGCGTTCTAAGAGCTATAATATAGATCTCGAGTTGCTTACGCTTACTAATCTAGTATGCACGGGTACCTCGTAGCTTGTCCGCGTATCGCATTAGATTAGATAGAAGCTTCTTTAAATCATCGTCGTTATAAGATGCTAGGGCAGCCTTTAAATCCTCGAGCGATATCTCTTAATACTCGGGATTCTACTATACTACGAAGTTAGCGATGCGATTGCTCTGCTTCTATATAGATATATTAAGGGCGACGTAACGGAAGCGTAGGTGCTAAGCGAAGCGTCCATCTTAGTATTTAAGCATATACTCGATATAGTCGTTATAGGAAACACCGCGTTCTTAGCATTTAACGAAGTTAGCAACACCCGTTAGATAGAGCGTTAGAAAGGCAAGGGACAGCAATGCTATAGATTTATTAAATTTAGATAGAGCTACGCGATCGAATAGCGGGAGTGTTAAGTAGTTCTATAGTAGGTCTCCTAGACTATCGTACTACGAGGCTTGTATGCGAAGTTTATCGTCCTTGTTTTAATACTACTATTCCTATTAATCGACTATATCTTATAGTTGCTACCGTTAGTCTTTAGGCATACGACCTTAAGGTAATGCAGACTCAAACGGATAGTTAGCAAAGTTGTCTTCTTCCTTATAACCTGTAGTGTCCTTAGATAGTTGTAGAGTAGATGCATTCTCGGGTAGTAGCGGCAAATTATCTTCGGTATAGTACTAAACGTTAATGCGGTCTATTACATCGTCGTCTTACGGCAAGCTCGATAAGCGGTTATCGTCGATAAGTACGCTAGCGTATCCCTTATAGTTGTCTCGCAGATATAATAACTACTAACGTATAATAGCTTAACGTATACGGAAGTCGCGCTTAAAGATTCGATACGTAGTCTTGTTACCTTAGGCTAGACGAAGAAGCACGGTTTCTAAGTGCTTAGGAAGCAGTAGGAGCTCCTACTAAAGCTTACCGGTATCGCGAAGGAAGTTGACGACGTTGTTCTTATACCGATACTAGGCGCCCTTAATAAGTCGTATCTTAACGTATACGTAGACACGTGCGATTAGAATCTCCTCGACTATTGTAAGCTTCGGTAGGTGTACTAGATATTTACCTAGGTCTATAAGGTTAGCTACTAATATAAGCCTAGGCTCTTCGGGGCGCTTGTTCTAATCGCGAGTAGTACGACACTTCTTGCAAATGTGTAAGGTTAGAGAGCCTTTACGAGTATCTAGTTGCATATTAAACTACCGCTCTTTATATCCCTCTTAAAGTTCTTCGTTCTAGCATGTCTCTATCTTCTTATCTTCTAAGGTAGCGAAGAAATTAGTTACTAGATTGTAGTTAATATCGGCAAGTGCCTTCTAACTATCGAGCTCGGTACGGACTTGAATAGGTAGGTCGACTAGATTGTCGATTAGGAAGTAGTCGGCAAGGGCCTACTTATATTAGTCGGCTCGAGCACGCTCGCGCTATCCGGGTCGAGAACGGTAAGGAGGTAGGTTATTATCGTTACGGACAATGCGATAAGAGACATAGCAATTCTCGAGCTCTTATAACCTATCTAGTAGGTAGAACTCGTAGCGCTTAACCTTATACCGACGAAGGATATACTACTTATACTAATTAGGTTTATTATTATTACCTTCTACGTAGTAATAGCAGATAGTAATGTTAGCGTCTGCTTCCGGTGCATCGTACTTGCATCTAATTGCGCGTAGTTAGTCGCAAATGCTATATATAAACCACCGCCGAGCATTACGAATAGGTAGATAATCTAGATTACCGGTAGGCGCGCCTACTCCGAATGCAGAGCTTAGAAGGAGTAGATCGCTGCCGTACTTAGTCGGCTGCTAGCTTAGTTGTCTAGCCTATAATTGCTACTAATATTAGCTTGCGAGTATTTAATCGATAGTCGGCGTAGGAGACAGATTCTCGCCGGTACGACGCTCTTAGCAGTATTATCGCGAGATTGTAGCGACTTAAGCACGGGCAGTTG